CCAGGCCAGCTCAGGCTACATAGTGAGTCTCAAAACCAGTCTGAACTGCACAGTGAGACCCTGTCTCAAAAAACCAAAACAGCCCTTTTGGCCAGAGCCACCATCTTCCAGTAATTTGTCAAAATGACAACACAAAGGTAAAGGGGAGAACACAGTACAGTTCTCTAGGCCTTTTAAAAAATATGGGGTTGTTCTTTTGGCCACACACATGCAAATCTACAAAAAGGGTGATATTGTAGACATCAAAGGAATGGGGACTGTTTAAAAAGGAATGGCACACAAATGTTACCATGGCAAAACTGGAAGAGTCTACACTGTTACCCAGCATGCTGTTGGCATTGTTGTAAACAAGCAAGTTAAGGGCAAGATACTTGCCAAGAGGACTAATGTGCATATTGAGCATATTAAACACTCCAGGGGTCAAGATAGCTTCCTGAAACATGTCAAGGAAAATGATCAGAAAAAGAAGGAAGACAAAGAGAAAGGTGCCTGAGTTCAACTGAAGCACCAGCCTGCCACACCCAGAGCAGCACACTTTGTGAGAACGAATGGGAAGGAGACTGAGTAGTTGGAACCTATTCCTTATGAATTCATGGCATAAGCTGGGGATGTAGCTCTGCCATTCAGGACCTAATTAGTGGCTAAGTGTTCTAGGCCCTACTTAAAAAATAAAAAATCATCCTGTGTTATAAGGATGGTTTTCTTAATTGAACAGATGTGTGGTGACTTTACCTCAGAGAAACAAATATTTGGAGCAGATTCTCATTGTTCCTAGTTTAACTGTGTCAGGTCTTTACTCTTCAAAGTTTTTCTTGATGAAAGATGTGAGGTATTGTGCAGGTGTATACCGAAATGGCCAAATATTTATGAAACATTTGTATTGGCTTGAAAATCGTCTAAATCACAATAGGGAAAAGATATGAAAATAAATGGAAGTCAGTACATGGCATTTCAGTTAAATAAACTGTTTAAAGCACCTTAAAACAAACAAACAAACCAAAAACTGTTAGAATAAAGATAGATAACAGGAAGAATAAAGAGGAGACAGGGGCCGGGGATTTAGCTCAGTGGTTTCGCAGCCTACTGTGCAAGCTCCAGGACTCGAGTTCGACCCCCAGTACCAAAAAAAAAGAACAAAAGAGGAGACAGGGTCAGGGAGATACAGTAGTAGCCAGATACAGCAGCACACACCTGTAATCCTAGCACTTGGGAGGTTAAGGAGGACTGCCACAAATTCAAGGCCAGCCTAGACTATACATTGAGTTGCAAGGCCAGCCTGAACTACATACTGAGATTCTGTCCCCAAAAATAACAGTAACAATAAAATGCAGCTGGAATGGGACTGGGACGGAAAAAGAATTAAGATGTGTTATGTATGTGTAAGAAGTCCTCAAGATGAATGTAATCATTATGTACTGCAAATACTGACTAAAAAAAGATTGTTAGAATGGCGATCATATTAAGAGGTTTTTGGTTGCTGTGACAGCCCCCCCCTCCATCAACTTAAAGGATGAAATATTTACTTTGGCTCATAGTTGCATAAGTTTTGGTTCATGTCACCTGTTCCATTGCTTTAGGCCAGTGATGAGGCAGAAACATCATGGCCAATAGGCATGGTATAAGAAAGCTGTTTATATCTGCCTTTGAATGCTCCTAATAAATTTTCAATTAATGTACTTTTCAGCTTCAATTGTTTTTCTTTTATTGATCATAAGTATTGTTTTTCCTGACTTTCTCTGTATCTTCTTTTAGTTCTTTGAGCATCTTTAATACAGTTGTTTTAAAGTCTTTCTTAAATTAGTGATCAGATTTTTTTTTTAGGGACAGTTTCTGTTGATTTACTTTTGTCATTTGAAATGGATCATACTTTCCTGTTGAAAATTGGACATCCTATGCATAGAGGCCATACTCTTAAGTGAAATAAATAGGACACACATGTGTAAATACCGAACAGTATCTCTAGTGTGAGAAACTGAAAGTGTAAATAAGGATGAAAATGATTAAAATGAATAACTGATAATTTGAAACAGGAAAAGGTCCAAAGGTGGAGGGGTGGTGGGAGGGGAAGGGGAAAGGGAAGAAAGGAAAGGAAAATTTATGAGAAAGAAAGAAAAAAAAAAGGAAACAAAGTCTATGTAAACAGGGAAGGGCGCATAGGTAATGGGGAAAAAAATAAGAACTAAGATACATCATGTTTAGGTACAAGCACCCAATGATAAATGTAAATGTATTGTATACCTAAAATGTACCAATTAATATATAAATAAAAAAAAAGAAAAGAAAATTGGACATCCTAAATATAATAATGTGGTAACTCTTGAAATCAGATTCTTTCCCTTCCCCAGGGTTTGCTGTGTATTTGCCACTGTTTTTCAGGGCTTTTCTGTTATTTGTTTTTAATTGTTATAGGCTGTCTCTGTGCCACAGGTCAATGTGAGATGTAAACATAAGATCCTTTTTTGTCTTTTATGAGCCTGCACCTTTCCCTGGGCATGTGTGATCACTTTCCATTTTTCTGTGTATATGCAGTTGCTTTTGAACCACCTAGTCTGTAATGTCTTCTTCCAAATAGAATAATGAAAAGGGGTAGAAAAAGGGGACCAGTCTTTAGAATCCACCTGAAATTGCTTGGGTAGGAGAGAAGCCTGCAACAGCTGAGAGAAGGTACAACAACAGTAACCTGCTTCTTTGTATTTCTATAATCACAAGCAGCAATCAGTGATCATAGCACAGGTTTCCAATATCTGAAGGACAAGGCCCTTTTTTCCTATCTTGGCTCTTACAAGCTGTTTGCTGGTTGTTCAAGAAACATACCCATAGCTGTGTACCATGCGGCCTGGTTGGTGGGGTGAGGACGTGTGGCGTGTGACCAAGTATGCTAAGAACTGAAATTGGTTAAAATTAACTGTACTTTACTGTCCAAGTCTTTCTCTGGAAGTTGCAAGCCTTCAGTAGACTAGAAAATTCTAAAATAGTCACATTAGAGACTCTGCTAGTGTAATTATTATCTACATGGGGAAGAAATGTTCTTGCCACTTTTTCAGAATCTCATTTTAGCAAGTTATCACAGCTGGGCCTGGGACTTAGCTCAGTGGTACCATGCCTGCCTGGTAAGCACAAGGTCCTGAGTTCGATTCCAGGTACCAAGGAAAAAAAAAAAAAGCTAACAAGTCATCACAGATGATTCTCATACAAATCATTTATAGACTGCAAACCCTAAGAATATCTGACCAATAAAGAAAAGCTATGGTTGTCTATTTCACAGACCCAGTGAATTACTGTCCCAGAGGTCCATTAAGAAAGTAAGTAAAAGGGCCGGTGATTTAGCTCAGTGGTGCCGCTGCCTGCCTCACAAGCACAAGGTCCCATGTTTGATCCCCAGTACCAAAAAAGAAAGGAAGTGAAAAAAAGAAAGGATAGAAGGAAGTGAGGGGTGGGGATACAGCTCAGTGGTAGAGCACTTGCCTAGCATACAGAAGCTCCTGGGTTTGCTCCCCAGCACCTCAAAAAAAAAAAAAAAAAGTGAGATAATGCACTGTATTCAAGTAGCTTATGTTAGGCCCCCAGGGAGAGAGCTCTGCTTATAAAGAGTGGGAAAGCATTTTAATTATTCAACAGATTTACTGAGTACTTACTACACTCTAGGGGCTGCTCTAGGTACTAGGATACAACAGTGGCAGGCGGATGGCTAGACTCTAACACAGAAACAGTGAAGGGATGAATAATATAGGTATCAGAGAAGTTCCTCTACCTGGCCTGTGACTTTCACCTCTTAGATAACAAGGGTCCTCAAGTGGGCAAGAGATAGTACTTCAATACTTATTGAAAAAAAAGAAAAAAGAGTGGCACTGGAGCCTCAGTTCAGAGGACAAGACATAGTACAGCTGTGGTGTTAGGAGGACAGATAAAACATCCCTTTTGTTTTGTGTCCTGTTAGAAGCACTTCTAAAAGATTTCATGCAACTTCACTACCTTATTGTGTATAGGAGAGCTACCATCTCTGAACTCCTGTGGATACTGGGGTATCTCAGGGCAGAGTGAACACCAAATGTCTGTAGCAAACTAAGCTGAATGTGTACTGACCCCAGGAAGTTCTGTTCTTTAATTATCTTGTGATAATGTCTTTCTTTTCCTAAATTTTAAATACAATAAAATATAAATCAGACTAAAGATTCAACATAACCAATCATGGATGAGAAAATTTGGGGGATGTTTTGTTTGCTTTTTGAGAAAGGGTCTCACTATGCAATTCAGGCCAGCCTCAAACTCATGGTAATCTTCCTACCTCAGCCTCCCGAGTGCTGGGATTACAGATATGCATCACCATGCTCGGTTTAGATGACAAATTTTAATATATCTACTTATCAGCTTACAAAGTTTCAAGTTTTAGACATGTTACTAAATGTGGCACTGGTGAGAATTTCCAGGAAAAGCCTCTACTGCTTTTAAGATACAGAAAGAGAATCACAGATATCAGAAGATTCTTTTTTGGCTCAGAGGTATAAATTTTCAGATGGCAGAGTGGTGAGCAGCAGAGAAGGAGCCTCTTTGAGATTTGGTGTCCTGACATTGGAATGTAGCAGTGCCAGGAGGAGGAGGAGGAGGGAAGTAGGTCCCCAGGACCCAGGAAGAATCTGAGGTGAGAACTGAAGTCTACAGGAAGAGTGCAGAGAGAGACTTGAACACAGAGGTATAAATTTTCAGTTTCCTGGGAAGGTTGCCTTAGAAGGCAGGACCTTTATGGAGAGAGAGAGGGAAGGATGCATAGTAATAAAGGAAAAAGATAGAGATTCAAAAGTTTTATGGCTAGTGAGCATTAAATGAGGCAACTTTTGTAACTTCTTTTGAGAAAATTCTTAGCTGTTAATAAAATAGTACTTTTTAACTGAGTATATACTTCAATATTCTGAAACAGTATACCTCAGCTTAAGATTTAGGACTCAGTCCTGTGTTTTAAATCTTTGCCTCAAAGCCCCTGAGCCTGAAAGCTTGATACTTACCTACACACATTTTGACATCATTCACAGTAAAGTCTGGATCTGGCATCCTAGAAAACAAACACCAGTAAGTATAAATCAAAAGCACAACTTGTCTAGTCAGTGTGAGCTTTTTCTTCAAGTACTAGGGGCTCCCCAATCAGACACATAAATCTTCACATTTAGACTTTAAATGATTTTTCAAATATAAATGATTATATACTGTATTCACAGACACAGGAAAAAATATACAATAAAATGTTAACAATAATTATTTAAAGGTGAAAGATTTCAAGAGATTTAAATTTCTTCTTAGCTCATTTATACTTTTTTATTTACCTATAACATGAATCAATGTGTGATATTTCTTTCTTTCTTTTTTATTTTTCCTGTACTAGGGATTTTAAATCCAGGACCTTTGCACTGACACCTCCACCCCGGCCCCATCTCACTAAATTTCCCAGGCTGGTCTTGAACTTGTGCTCCTCCTGCTTTGGCTTCCCAGAGTGCAGGGATTACAAGCATTGCCATCACATCTGGCTACTATTTTTTTTTTTTTTTTTGGTACCAGGGATCAAGCTCCAGTCCTTGTGCTTGCAGGGCAGGCGGCAGAACCACTGAGCTAAATCCCCGCCCCTACATTTTTAAATAAGTGGAAAATTATTTTCAATTATTTACTGCTCTGGGTTCTTAATACTGCCATAGTCTACAGCTACTTTACAACCATTCCCTGCCAGGCCCAGAACACTTACTTTATTCCAAGTCCATCAGAATTCTTGAATATCAGAGGGTCTCTCAAGCCACCCCGCTGGATATACTCTACATTAAAATCTGTCCCACAGGAAAACAATTATTAGAAAGACAAAAGGCATAGTTAGAAAAAAAAGGGTCATAAAAAGATGTAAGTAATAAGGTATAGATAAGATGTTTCTTCTGTGCATACTACTGTGCTCTATTATACAATAAACACATACTTGTTACTGAGAAGCACTTCACAGAAAATAGGAATAACAGCACACTGCAGAGTAGGGGTTTAAGGGTTTGCTATGTCTGTATTTCTATAGGCAATTTAGAACTTAAACAATAGAGGGTATAATACTATTAATGAGTCACCTCATAAATCCTAAATAGAAATTACCATTATCCTGTCTCTTACCAACCAAAAAATTAATCCTGACCATCACTACAACACACCTATGATATCTCTGTCACTCTGCTAAGGATCAAAGCTGCATGATACACATGGAATCCCACCTTTGTTTCAGTGGGGTGTGTATATGCATAAAAGAGTTTTATTATACTATTTTAAATTAAACTCAAGCAAAGGGATGAGAGAAGCAAAAGGCCATTAAGAAAAAACAAGAGATGCAGGCATGGTGGCACACGTCTGTAATCCCAGCACTCAGGGGGATCGCCAAGAGTTTGAAATCAGCCTGGACTACATAGTGAGTTCAAGGCCAGCCTGCATTACAAAGTAAGACCCTGTGTCAAAACACCAAAAGTATAATAACACTCCTACCCTAATAAAAGACTATGTCTTTTTTTCTTTCTTTTTTTTTTTTTTTTTTTGGCAGTACTGGGGATTGAACCCAGGGAACACTCAGCTACATCTCCAGTGCTCCATCCCTCTTTAAGACAAGATCTCAAAAAACAACAACAAAAAACCCAAAAACTAAGTTGCCAGGGCTAGGCTCAAACTTTAGATCTTCCTGCCTCAGCCTCCCAGTTACTGAGATTACAAGTGTAAGCCACCATACCCATCTTTGACTCCTTCTAATACAAAGAATGATTCAAGGGTACAAGAATGGGGCAGGGAAGTGTGTGTATATAGGTCACATTATGTAACCAAAGAAAATGGATAAATAAATACCATCAATAGGCAATGTTTCAGTTGCATACAAGCTAAATCAACAGTTGTCTATGACCTCCTTTCTCTCTCTTTTTTTTGATACCAGGGATCGAACTCGGGACCTTGCACTTACAAGGCAGGCAGCGGCACCACTGAGCTAAATCCCAGGCACTCTATGACTTCCTATATCAAGGGATTACACCTCTGAATCAAAATGATACTGACCTCTTCCTTCCATAAATGTAACAAAATTGGCATTATATTTGTTGGTGTGGAGTTTCTCTTCCAAGTCAAAAGTTCTTTTCCCTTCAATTTCATCATCTGAAATGCCATCGTCTTCATAGCGTCGTCGCATGGTACCACGCTGGGAAACAAGGGACATACAGATGATATTACATACTTTCCTATGTCTATTACAAGCAGTATTCCCACATGTACAAAATGCTAGTTTCAACCTCAGCTGCTATATCAAGCATCAATATTCCTTACCTTACAGATCTATTCTTCCTCTCAACTCAATATCAGCTGACAGCCTCAGAATGCACAGAATACTCTGTAAGTTTTAATGAGCCACTGTATTCTCTACCTGTGAATTTTACATTTGCTAACTTTTTAAGCCTAGCGATATAAATTCACAATAAAAAACTCAAATAGAATCTACTATTTTATTTACCATTTTAAATACCATGGCTTATCAAAGTATGGATAAACTGTTAGGCATGGTAGCACATCCCTGTAGTCCCACCACGTAGGAGGCTAACGCATGAGGGTTGGAAGTTTGAGGTTGGCTTGGGCTATATAGGAAGTTCAAGGCCTGAACTACAAAGAGACCCTGTATCAAACAAACAAAAAAGTGGACATAAGCTGTCTTTACAGAAATTCAAGTGAGCATATAATTTTTTCATAAGGGAGAGCTGGATCTAAAATTAGCTTTAAAAAAAGACCTCAAGGATAGACTAAAACATTTGAATTAACAGACCAAAAACTCTAAGCAATAGTATGCTATCCAGCAGACCATTCATATTTAAAGATAAATGTCCCCCCAAAGATGACACACAAATAGCCAGTAAGCACATGAAAAGATGCTCATTAGTGTAAATCACTAGGGAAATGGAAATCAAACCCATAGTGAGACACTACTTCATACCCACCATGATGGCTTATCATCAAAACAGATGAATTAACAGGACTAGTGGGGTAGCTTAGTGGTAGAGCACTTGCCTAACATGCATGAGGCCTTGAGTTTGATTTCCAACTCTGGAGAAAGACAGAGAGAAAGAAGCTGGGTGTGGTGGCACACGCCTATAATCCCAGCATTTGGGAAGTTGAGGCAGGAGGATCACTATGAGTTTAAGGCCAGCCTGGGCTAGACAGTGAGTTCAAGGTCAACCTTAACTACAAAGGGAGACCCATTAAAAAAAAAAAAACACAGAAAAGAAAAGGAGAAAGAGAGAGAGAGAAAAAAAGGTGAACAATAACAAGGGCCGACATGTGTGGAGAATCTACACAAATTAGCCAGAAAAATGAATAAATAATATGTGCTACAACACGGGCAAACTCTGAAAACATTAAGTCAAGTAAACACCAGATACGACATATTATATGATTTCATATAATGTCTGAAATAGGCAAATCCATAGAGACAGAAAGTAGGTAAGTAGTTCCCAAGGGCTGGAGAAAGGGAGGAATGGGAAGTTACTGCTAATGATATGGGGTTTCTCCCAGAAGCCATGAAAATGTTCTGGAATTAGCACTAATGTTTACACATCTCTGTGAATATACTCAAAACTAAATTATATACTTAAGTGAATTTTGCAGTATGTTAATTTTATCTCATAAACTGTTATAAACAATGTTGCTTATGTCACAAATTTATCTTTTAATATATTTTATTTTAGTCAGTGTTAATATTTCAAAAATTTCTTCAGAACATAATCATATGATAAGTGGCAGAGGCAAGGATAAAGTAGCCTTACCCTTATAAGTGCTAAAAATAACCACACCTGGAATTTAAAGCTAGGTATGATGATTTAGAATTGATTACACAAAACCTGCATTTATATAACTACATAAAATGAGACATTAGAGAAGTCTCTTAGGAAACGAAGATGTGTAAAAGGGCAGAAATTAAATCATAAAAAATGAAAATAGATTTGTTACACACCAGAAGAAAACAAGATTGAAGTTACTGAATATCATACCTTTTCCATATTTAGTAAAAATCCTCTTAATACTTCTTAGTACTCTGAAAATTGTTAGTAGACTTTCATTAACTTAATAAGGCCATCACTGTTCAAAATAATTTTAGATACCTTTTTGGAGGGAGTTTTCACTTACATTTATGGGGGGGGGTAACCGGGGATCAAACTCGGCCTTGCGCTTGAGAGGCGGGCGCTGGAACTGAGCTAAATCCTGGCCCTACTTACATTTTCTTACATGGTGGTGTTTGTGTGTGTGTTTTGGTTTTTTTTTGGCACCGGGGATAAAATTCGGGTCCTTGCGCTTGTGCAACAGACGGGGAAACCACTGACCTAAATCCCCAGCCCTTATGTGTGTTTTTTAAAGCATCAACCAATTCTCTCCCTCACTTTATTTCATATATGTAACTCTGAAGAAAAGTACTAGAGACTAGTAGTTTCCTCAAATAGTTACTTTTTAATTTTTTTTTTTCTTTTTTTGAGACAGAGTCTCACTATGTAGTACAGGCTGGCCTTGAACTCTCTAGTAGCCAAGGCTGGCCCCGAACTCACAGCAATCCTTCTGCTTCAGCCTCCTGCATGCTGGGATTATAGACATGTGCCACTATGCTCACTAGGCTCAAACAGTTACTTTTAGAAAGCACTTTCACTGTAAACCACCCCCCCCCAAACACACACAGCGGGAATCAAACTTGCCTACTAGTGAGGTGGGCACAGTGCCACTGAGCTAAATCCCCAGCCCCACTGTAAATTCTATATGCTTGTCAAAATAAATAATCATCCTGACTATTCCAACATTTCTAACATGTTAGCAAAAGGTTCCCCCAACCTTGTCTTTTTTTGGTTCTGGGGATCAAACTCAGGACCTTGTGCTTGTGAGGCAGGCGCAGTGCCACTGAGCTAAATTCCCAGCCCTCCCTTCTTGACTTTTTAAATCCTTTTCTTCTTCCTATTTTCAAGAAGAATTTAATATAGAGAGCATAAGGATAGAGGCAAGGCTCTTGTTCCAGTCAAATCATTCCCATTTCCCTAACAGAAAAACTTAAATGATTGATTTCTTCTTGATTGTTGCAAATGTGATGTCAGCAACCATGTGTGAAAATTACCTGTGTCAGTTTTAACAGTGTCAAAGAAAAACAGGGTGAGGTTTTTTTCATTCTAATGTAAAAATCCTGGTTTATGACAGTGTACTTCATAAGTGCTTTAAAAATGTATCCAATCTTGACAATAACCCTGGCCATCATCAGGGAGTAACAAAATCTCTGCTATAAAACCCAGGCCCGGGATTTAGCTCAGTGATTCCGCCGTCTGCCTCGCAAGTGCAAGGTCACGAGTTTGATGCCCAGTACCAAAAAGAAAAGAAAGAAAGCCAGGGACATAGCCTCCAATCTCCTACCCGTTGGAACTACCAAATAATTCTATTTTACTGGTGTGCTCTGCTTCTACCCCAAGTTCTTTCCATACAGTTGATCTTAGGCAGCCAAAGAAGTCACTGGCCTGCTATGGATGCCAACCCCCACCAGCCCTGGACTGAGTGTCACAGTAAGTAACAAATACAAACTGAATACTGAAATCTATTTCCCACAGCAAATATTCATGACTTTGGATTAGGCAATGGTTTCTTAGATATAACATCAAAAGCACAAATAAAAACAAAATAGGTAGGGCCAGGATGAGGGTAACCCTTGGACTTCCTAAAATTTAAAACCTTTTGTATTTTATTTATTTATTTATTTATTTATTTATTTATTTATTTATTTGGTACTGGGGATCGAACTCAACCTTTTGTATTTTAAAAATAATCAAGAGCTGGGGATTTAGCTCAGTGGTTCCGCCACCTGCTTCGCAAGCATAAGGTCCCGAGTTCGATCCCCAGTACCAAAAAAAAAAAAAAAATCAAGAAAAGAGAAAAACCCCCATGAAATAGGATTTTCTCCCATTTTAAAGGCATAAATCTAACAAGGATCTAATATCCACAATATTTAAAGAATTTTTACAAGTCAATACAAAGAACAAAAATGAATGATTTTTTGGGGGGAGGATTTAGCTCAGTGGCACCATGCCTGCCTGGCAAGCGCAAAGTCCTGAGTTCAATCCTTGGTACCATTAAAAAAAACCCAATTTAAAAGTGGGCAAAGGATTTGAATAAATAATTCAAGAAGATTTACAGCTGGCCAATAAGCACTTGAAACATCATTTGTCATTAGCTTAATATTATTAGTCACTAAAGAAATGCAAATCAGGGCTAGGGATTTAGCTCAGTGGTTTCGCCGCCTGCTGTGCAAGCACAAGGACCTGAGTTCCATCTCCGGTACCAAAAAAAAAAAAAAAGAAATGCAAATCAAAACCACAATGAGTTACCACTTTGGACCTATCAGTCAAATAACAAGTGTTGGTGAGGATGTGGAGAAGGTGGAACTCTCATACATTGCTGGTAGGAATATAAAATAGCAAGAAGCCCCCCCTTTGAAAAACACTGGCAGTTTCTGAAATGATTTAATATAAAGTTACCATATGACTCAAAATTCTACTCTTAGACATCTCCCCATCCAAGAGAATGAAAACACATATTCATACAAAAACGTGTACACACAATATTTACCTCATCTTTAATTTTTTTTTTTTTGGTACCGGGGATCGAACTCAGGTCCTTGCGCTTGCGAAGCAGGCGGCGGCACCACTGAGCTAAAATCCCCGGCCCTAATTTTTTCTTTTTTTTGAGACTGAGTCTCATCATGTTGCCCAGGTTGATTTCAAACTCACAGGCTTAAGTAAACCTCTTGCCTCAGTCTCCTCAGTTGCTGTGACTAGAGTGCACCGTTATGCCTGGCTCTCACAGTGTTATTGACAGCAACATTATTCACAGTGACCAAAAAGCAGAAACAACCCAAAGATTCACCAACTAAGAATGGATAAATGAAATGCAGTATTATCCGTACAATGAAATATTATTTAACAAAAAAGACAATTACTGGGCCGGGGAATTAGCTCAGTGGTTCTGCCGCCTGCCTTGCAAGCACAAGGTCCTGAGTTCGATCCCCAGTATCCAAAAAAAAAAAAAAAGACAATTACTGATAAATGCAACAACTGAAAAACACTATGCTAAGTGGAAAAAAAAAAAAAACCAATCACAAAAGACCACATATTATATGATTCCATTTTTATG